TTTTGTTTTTGGTATCGGGGATCGAACTCGGGTCCTTGAGCTTGCAAGGCAGGTGGCGGCACCACTGAGGTAAATCCCTGGCCCCTCAGATTACTTTTATTAGCACTTTATTTTTGGGTACCAGGAATCAAACTTGGGACCTTGAGCGTGCAAGGCAGGCAGCAGAACCACTGAGCTAAATCCCCCGGCCCACAGATTACTTTTAAATGTTCTTCCAACCTCAATACTTTATCATTTTAAAGCAACCTCTGTTTAGAAAAAAACTTTCAATGGTTCTCAATTATTGAGTAGAAACCAGTTCCTAGTTCTATTTACGTTGACTTTCCTTAATTCACATTTTACTCTCCTGAAACCCCTATCTCTTACATTCCTGTCATCATGTTTGCTGTTCCATCTGCAATATGTCACAGCATTCTGTAAACAAACCTCCCATAAAAATGTGAGGCATTAGCCAGGTGTGGTGGTGCATGCCTGTGACCCCAGCACTCCGGGAGGCTTAACCTCCCATAAAAATGTGAGGCATTAGCCAGGTGTGGTGGTGCATGCCTGTGACCCCAGCACTGAGGCAGGAGGATCGCTGTGTTCGAGACCAGCCTGCGCTACATAGTGAGTTCCAGGTCATTCTCAACTACCTAGTGAGACCCTGTCTCAAAAAAAAAAAAAAAAAGTGAGGCACTAACATCTCTACCTGTTGAACCCTATTCACCTCTTTTAGTGTCTCGGTCACTTTTGCATCACTGAGACATCATGAAATATCCTATACCCACAACTTAAGGAAGAAGAGGTTTATTTTGGTTCACAGTTTCAGTCTGTGCAGCTGGTTCCAAGGCAGAAATAGGATGGCAGAGGGAGAAAGAAGGGAGGAGTGGAGACAAGAATATACCGTTCCAGGTCACACCCCAGGGACCCACCTCTTACCAGGCCCCGCTTACCAATAACACCTTCAGCTACTGAACTCATCAATGGATGAATTCACTGGTGAGTACGGCACTCCACGGTTCAGTCACCTTCCACATCCAGGAGAATTTTGTGGGACAGTTTAGATCTAAACCATAATAGTTGCAAGTTATAAAACCCATGAATGAATTATAAAGATGTATGGGCTCACATGTCCAGAGGTGGGTCAAACTTCAGAAATGGCTTCCTCAGGTCTCTGGCTCCACTTAGCTGTAATCTTTTCTTATACGGCTCCAAAACCTCAATCAAGTTGTGTCTTCCAGCCAGCTTCCCTCATGACAGCTAAAACAAAATTCTGCTGCAATTGTAGTCAGCATACTACACTGCGTTATCCAGAAAATAAAAGAATATCTCTTCTTTTTTTCACTTTTACTGGACCAACAGCCGTAGGTTCTTAATAATTAGGAGGCATGACAGTGATGGAGGGGCTGGACTCTAGACCAGCTGAATTACAGTGGTAAAGTTTGTGAAACGGTTTCCTCATCTGTACAAGAGGGATTACAATAGTATCTCTATCATAACTAGACAAGCCTGAAAAGCGCTCAGCAGACTGCCTGGCAACTAGCAAATGTTCCATCAACGTTAGCTAGTGATGCCAGCATACTTCCTTAGAAACATTTCTGTTCATACAATAAGCTTCAGAGAGTCTTCTGGACAAGTCTTCTGGACATTTCTCGGCTGAATTTGCAGTCAATCTTCCTGCAAACGTTAAGTGAAGGCCTACTGTTTTAGGCATGAAGAGTGAGCAAAACAGACGATATCCTGCCCTGGCAGAGATCACACTCTAGTGGGAAGTGAGGATGGGAGAGAGACAATAAATATACACGAGGATATTTCAGGTGAGGAGAGTGCTGTGGAGAAAATCCCAGCAGGATTGGGTATGGAGAAGTAAAGTGTGGGACGCCGCTATTTTAAATGTGGACCAGGAAAGGTCTCTCAGAGGAAGTAATCTTTGAGCTGAGACATGAAGGTAAGGAATGAGCCACATCAATCTTTGGGAGAAGAGAATTTGAGTCAGAGACAACAACAAATGTAAAGGTCCTGAGGCAGTGGTATGCTTGGCCTGTTAATAATGAACAGGACAGAGGCCAAAATGTGGCTGGGGCAGAGTAGGAGAGTTATAGGGGACCAGTTCAGGAGAATAGCAGGTCACGCAGGACCTTGCAGAACATGAACATAATCCTCAGTGCCGGCAGGCAACAGGACACCATCTGCACAAATTTTCTAACCGAGTCTATGAACAGAACAGGCTAAGAGCTTCAACTTCCTGATGGTGGGGCTGAAAGGAGGTTAGAGAAGGCTTCCCTGAGGAGGTGGCTCCTGAGCCGAACACTGAAGGATGAAATGGAAGTAGGTGAGCAGACAGGTGGGAGCAAACCAAATAATGAAAATCATTGCGGTGCATTTAAGCAAACATGGTAAAGGAAGGCACAAGAAAGGAGGTGAAGAGTGGCCAGGAAGACAGCAGAAGAGGTTAATAGGGGCTGGATTCATTAACTGATCGATTCACTCATTCAAATATTCACTGAACCAGTGTGATGGGCACAACAGTAAAAAATTCCTGGGCTTGTTGGGCATGGCAGTGCTTTCTGGGTGTCTCTCAAAATTAAAAATAAAAAATAGCTGAGGATTGGATGTAGCTCAATGCGAAGGCCCTGGGTTCAATCCTCAGTACTGTAAAAAGAAAAGAAAAAAAAAGTCTCCTAAGGCTGGGGATTTAGATCAGTGGCACCACACCTGAGGTCCTGGGTTCAATCCCCACTTAAAAAAATTCTCATAGAACTTTCTATTTCTATTCATAGAACCATTCTAGTGGTAGAGACAGACAAAAACACAAATGGACAAAAAAATGACAGAACAAGAGACCAACCCGCTAGGTGGGATGTTTAAGGAAGACCTCTCAGAGGTGCTATGTAGACAGAGGTTTGGGGGAAGAATGTTCCAGGCCTTGCTCTCTAATGTCACTCTCTGTCTTCCTTTTGCCAAAAGGCTGAGAGATGATAGGTTGTTAAACAACAGAACAGTAGTCATTACTGGTGGTCTGGTAGAGACACGACACTCAGCTCAAACTCTGTTGCAGTCTTGGGAATCCTGTCTCTCAGGCAGGTTCTGTGGAAAGTGATGTGAAGAATACAATCATGAAATCACAGGTCGGAAGAGGTGGTGGAAAATATGACTGCTGACAGCACTGATCCTCCTGTGCTATCAGAGGAGCCCTGTGGCTATTTTGGAGAAGAGTGTGTGTGTGTGTGTGTGTGAAGGGGAGAGAGAGAGAGAGAGAGAGAGGGAGAGAGAGAGAGAGAGAGAGAGAGAGAGAGGGAGGCATTCAGAGATCACTATAGGGACAGGACAGGCAGACTCCTGGACCCTTGTTATATATTAGAAGTACAATTTTTTTTTCTTTTCTTTTCTTTTCTTTTTTTTTGCTAAAAACTGTGACTTCATTTAGGCCTCCAGAAACACAACAGGTAATTAAAAGCACCTTCATTTCTTTTTTTGTTGTTGTTGTTCAGAGGATCAAACTTGGATTCTTGCACGTGCAAGGCAGAGCACCTTCATTTTGTATCCTTTGTTAGTTTAAATCTTCTGGTCAAATCTCTTAATCTTCATATAGGTATGTTAATCATTTAGGGAGTGTCTACCTAAAAACTGGCTACAGGTTCACTGGCCCTGAATTTACATCTCCCTTTAGTACTGAGGACATCAAGATAAAGGATTTACAGGGCCTTTAAAACCCAGAAGTCTAAACCTGATATCACCGGGATACCAGAAAAAGCACAGACCCATGTGACACCACAACAGAGGCAATTTTTTCATGGGAAGAAACTATCCCTCAGCCATGAGGATTCCAGAGCTAAAACCTATAGAGATAATGATCACCTGGATCTCAGCCCACCAGCTAATCCTTAAAAGCTGGCCTTCGGCCTTTTCTCTTACTTTCTAACTATAGCTTTTTCCTGTAAATGTGTGCTTTAGTTTTTACTTCCATTATTACTAAAAACAAGGACCCATACAGCTGGTGATAGTGGGAGACCCTAGAGGCTGGAATGCTGATTCAAGCGTGAGATTCCGAACAGGAGAAATGTTTAGGAAGGAGGCCTACTACCAAGATCGAAAATAAGATCTTCTGCACCCCAGAAAGGTAAAGCTATTTGAATATAACCAACCTTATTACTATATGTTTTTGGAAGAGTGGCACCTCCTCCCCAGACTACCCTCACCGCAGCCTCTGCACAGTCTCTGCTTTGGCAGCTAGGGAAGACAGTCACTCAGGTCAAGTCCCTGACGCTTCTCGCCTTTCCGGGATCGCTCTAGCACTGCCCCCAGACTACAGCTTTGGGTGCTGTCTTCAAGCCTCGCCCACCTCAAGCACCACCCACTCGGCCCTCCTTTAGGGCCCGCCTCCTTCCGGCTCCTCCCCAGAGTGGCTCTCCTAGACCCCCTCCTCCCTGCTGTGCTTCCGGGTCCGCCTCCTCCAGGCACGTTCCCCGCCAGCCCCGCCTACAGCCCCTCCGGCTTTGGAGCGCTGCCCGGGCTCCGGCTCTCTGAGGCCTCCACTGCCTTCCACAGCTGTCTAGCGTCCTTTTTTCCCTTGGCATCACCACTCACCCGCCCCGCCCCCAACTCCATACTGGTGTAAGCCACTCTCCTCTGTCCTGTAGTCCCACCTCTCGCCTCTGTCCCTCCTCCCCGCCAGACCCCGCCCTGGCCCCTCCTCCCTCCTCTCCGCGCCCAAGCTCTGGACCTTTCCAAAACCAGGCTCTGGGGGTGGGGAGGGCCCACGCTCTTGGGAAGCCGAGCCGGGTAAGGGCGGGGTCGAGGACTCCTCAGGTTGTGTCGCTGCGTCCTTCCCGGGAGGCCGAGGTGAGGTAGGCGGAAGGCCGGGGTCAGGGCGACTGGCGGGACCGAGCGGAGGGG